CCCTATGGTTATAGTTCTTTAAACATTCTAGGGGAACATGTTGAAATTGTACAGTGTATAAAATGGCAATAGAGTATGTAGCACAAGACAAGCAGTAGAGTATGCAGTAAAGAGAACAGTACATCATGCGGTGTAAAGAAAAAGTTGATGGTATAGCAGGAAAGTGATTTCAAGAAAGTAACATGCTGTAAACATAAATCAAACCTGCATACATGGGGGATCCGTTGTTCCTTAGATGTAGCTGATGCAACAGGTACAAATAACAAAAATTGAGGAAAAAAATTGAAAAAATTGAGGAAACAAGCTGAAATGCAATATATAAACGAGAGCAAGGAAGAAAAGAAACGTCACCCAGAAAACTTGAGAAAAGACGGTAAACGACCCACGATGAAAAACTCGGGAAAAATTAACGAATAATCCATGAAGAAAAGCTCGAGAAAATCGACGGGTAACAATTCAAATAAAATCATCAAAAAATCTCGGGAAAATCCCGGAGAAAAGACCACAAGTGCTCTGTCGAAAAATTTCAATAAAACATATGAAAAAGTCTGAAAAGATGGGATCGCAAGCATTCGGGTCAGGGCTAGGCTCAAATATATGTTTGTACTCGAGGGTCGTCGAAGGCTACTCGGTCACCCGGATGTATAAAACCCGCCACTCAACTAGAAGGGTGTCCTATCGAACTTAACTTAGGAGGGTACTCCTTAGCCCAAACAGGTAATCAACAGGTGGACAACCAATATTTAAAATATATTTAAAATTTATATTTTTAGTATGCACATAGATTTCAAGCATACAAAAGTGGGTTGTATCAATTTTGTTTGTAGCAAAAAATATATATATATTTGTTTGAAAAAGGTGTATCCGTTCTTATCAAATTTGTTTTTATTAGTTTTGAAAAAGTGTAGTTGTCCACGAGTCGATCACACTGTCGGGCATAGAACTACCAACAACCTAAGAAGATACGGGTCAACTCCCGCTAGTCTTATGTCGGTGAATGATATTACATCCTACGTTTCAGCGGGTCCGTGGGGGTGTCCCGATGTCGTAGGATGGAATATCATTTCGCTCTACCACCTCTGTGCCTTTGTCATCACCGCCCTAGGCCCCAAAACAAAACTGACCTACTTGCGATCTTGTTTGATAGTTTCACGTATAGCAAAAGGCTATACATGGACACTTAGGTATCGCACATAGGTATCGAACATAAGCACCAAAAATCAAATCAAGAAACAAGGAAAAAAAACAAAAATGGGGTGAGAGAGAGGAGGCACTGATCCACCTAAAGCACCGAAAAGACGGAGAATGAATCAGCCCTCAAAACTCGGAATGAAAAGACCTGAAAAGGTAGGGCCCAGGGTCCTTGAATCAACCCGAAAGGATACCATTTGCTCGTTCTTTTAGAACTGGATCGACCCGAGGAGGGTGTCCCTTCCAATTCTTGTTTCGAACAAATCGGAACAAGCCCGAACTAATACGACGGTCACCCACAAATGACCTCCTAACGCCGGTGTCCAAACCCCAAAAATATCTTCTTATGAAATCAATTCATATCAGCTAAATGCTCTCCCAAAATAATAAAAAAAAAACTTGGAAATCTTCCAAACTCCACAAATCGAACAAAAGAAAAGTGAACCAGGGAAAGCCACCACTTGCACTTCCCAAACTTATGCCACAATTAAAATTTTCCAACTCCCAAATTAATCAATAGCCTCAGATATCAAATAAACATAGAGACTTCCAATAAAGCCACATAAACGCTCACGACCAGGGTCAATAGAGAAGAGGAAGCAGCCACCAAGGCTCACGACTAAGTCCACCAACTGAATAAGGCACTCACGGCTAAGGCAAGAAACAGGGTCAAAAGAGGCTCACGGCCAAGGCAACCCAAGGCACAGGAAAGGCTCACAGTCAAGGCAAGAAACAGGGCCAAAAGAGGGTAGAGGGTCACGGGTAAGGCCAACAAAAGCACAACCGAGTTCCAAACTAGCTCACGGATAGGAGCCAGAACAAACCAAACCAAATTCATATAGGAAGCTCACGGCCACAGATGGCAAGCGGGAACCCAACACAACACAAATCTACGGGTGGGGGACAAAAAGGAAGCAGACCTATGCCTATTGATCTCACGGTTAGAGGGCAAAACCGAAGGCCACAAGGCCAGTGCCCACTGAACAAGGCTCACGGCCAAAGTAAGGAAAATCAGCCCAAGCACAAGAAAGGCTCGCGGCCAAGACAACCCGAATCAATTCCATGAGGCTCTTTGATATACATAAGAAAGTACAAAATATAATCATAATTTTGAAATGACAAATTTGATCCGCTGACAATCATCCAAGTAATTCGAGCCCAAGAAGAAGAACCAAATCAAATTAAACAACCCTCGATATGTCTCACGGGTAAGAGTAGGAAACAGCTCAGGATAGCCACCAAGGCTCACAAATAGAAACAACACAAAAAAACACAAGTTAGACCCTCGGGTAAGGGCCTAAGACAAGCCAAACCGAGCCCCCAGCCAGCCCTCGGGTAGAGACAAAAGCAAGCACAGGGCAGCCACCAAGACTTTCAAGTAGGGACAAGTATAAAGCCTAAACATAGGCTCTCGAGTAGGAGCTAAACCAGCAAACTGAGCCCCCAAACAAAGCCAAAACAAACCCCTCAAGGTCCATAAATGAAGTTCAAACAATTAGAACAAAGCCTTAACCAAAACCAAAAGCCAAGTCTCAACAAAGCTCAACCTCCAACCCTTCCAAAGTGAAAACCGAGCTCCAATAGAGACCAAACCCAACCTTTGAAGGCCAACAAATGAAACCATAAAGAAACCATAATAACAAAGCCACCTCATAATGAAACTGAGCACCAATAGAGGTCAAAACCCAACCATAGTAAAGGATCAAAACCCATGCCATCCAAGAGTTAAAGAATACCCATATGCCCTTGAAACGTCAAAATATGGAGCCAAAATATGTTTTAAACTGTAACAGTAGCATGAAAAATATTTTAAGCTATCAATATAATTGTTCTAAGCATGAAAGATGTTCCCTTCCCCTTCGAGGAGCCAAACCAAACTATCAAAGCAGGATATAAGACATTTCCAAGTGAAATAGATTTTCTCACAACATGTATTTCAAGTAAGGAAAAGCTACAAGGAGCCAAATCGAGCCACAGTAAAGCTCAGAACCCGGCCACAACAAAAGCTAGAAAACATCCTCATGCCTTCAAAACATCAAAACATCAAAACATAGGGCCACCACGTGTTTCGAACAAGAACAGTTGTAGAACTTTCCCAAATCAAGATGAATTTCTTCATAGCATGCATTTTTAAGCCAAAAAGGAATTTAAGATGCTAAAAACGAGTCTTCCACATGCGTGAAAGACCAAATAAATCTTCCAATGTCTCATGCTAGATACGAATAAATGAAAAGCTTCATGATACATATCCTAACATGCTTGCAAGAGAAGTTAACATTGTCTCAAAGCCATGTTTCAACCCTGCTAATTGTTTCCAATAGAAATATGCTACAATAAATAGAAACATGCCATAGCTTCACCACTTTAAGCAAGTAATCAATTCCAACTCCTAGAACATGCTCACATTTCCATTTCTATATGCTTGAGTAACAAATATTTCAAAAATAAGTGTAATATCCCCCTAGCATGCTATCCCATCCACAACACCAAGCTCAAAGGCTCGGCAGAGGGAAAAACGAAAAGAAGCAAGACACATGAGGGGGGAAGAAGGTACCTCTTTGCATCAAAAAGCAACACAGAAATTTTAAAAGCACTCCTCAACTTCAATCCTTCCTCCAACAGTAAGAGGAAGCCAACCCAAGTACAAAAAAAGTTAAAGAAGCAAGTGAGAAAAGAAAATATCAGAATTTTCTCTCCCCTAAGAGATTTTTCTGCCCACTGAAATGCTCTAAATAGAGCTTAATATAGACGGGAGAAGGAGACGGAGCGATCGAAAGATCGTAAACGGCTCGAGGAAACGAGCAGAGCAGACGCCCCATACGAGCGGCCCGAGTGAGGATGAGATCCTCGCAGGGGATAAGATCCACGGCAATGATAAGGGGATGGGTCGTCCTCGAGATGGTCTCGCGTGCAAGAGGCGAGCGCGAGAGTGAAGGTCCAACGGCACAGGAAGGACGCGGGTCAGGCGAGCGAACGAACAGAGCTAGGGCTGAGGCCCACGGGTTCGAGAAAAGCGGTGGGGAGGGCTCCTTTGCTAGTTTGCTACGTCTAGACCCTAGGCTATCAAAAAGGAGAGACTAGACCTCCGCCAAAAGTGAGGTCAACAGCAGCAGCTTTATAATAAACTGCATTTGCCCCAAACAGACCCTAAGTTTTTGACAAAGTTACACAGTATCCCCAAAAATCTCTAAAATGGCAATGAGTTAAACAACTGCCAATGCCTTTCAATCTATGAATTATTAGAACATATTACGTGTTGTATTAAAGTAAAGAAACCTCAAGGTAAAACATTTGCTTATGGAGAACGAGTAAAAAGCAATAAAAATAGCAAAACATATCGAGATCATAAGATGACAAACTTACCTAGCACTTGAGAAATTAAATATCCAAATGTTAAAAATCTGAGGTTAGTTTGATGCCAATCAATCTCATCCTACTACTAGAATTTTATAAAAATTGTCAGATGTGCACCTTACAACTAGTTCATCTAGTTCAATTGTTCCCAGTAAAACAAAGAATTCCTTCTACTTTCTCTTGAACTAACTCAGCAGGGAATGAACTGCTAGTTTGCATTCTAGTTTTGAACAAAAAAGTTGTCTATAAAATAAATTTTAAATTCAAGTACTGAACAAAATGTTGTCCATAAAACAATCTTTTTTTCTGTCCAGAATATGCAAAGTCATTGACATAACAATATGGCATCATGGCTATAAACATGAACTATTCAGCAAAAAAAATAAAGTCCTAAATAAAAAAAAGCAGAACTAAAAAAAATCATATTCAAACACAAAAATAAGTAGTTATTGTACATTGCAGGATGACTGGTGTTTTGTCTGCCATTGGGACCACTGCTGCATAAGTTCCATAAGTTTTTTTTTGCTTTCTCTGGCAAAAGTTCAACATGTATTTAAAGTTAGTTGTTGTAGAAGTAAAAGACGAAGTAAGAAAATAAAGAAAAAATATAAGGAAAATAAAAAATAGATATAAGCACACATATATGAACACAAAAAGCTTAAATGTTATATATGGAGGAAACACGATGCTTCACCTCTATAATTTCTTGTATTGTTGACAGTCACAACTACCTAGTATTTATGCATAAGGGAAGCTATAGGAGGAAAGATCCAGAGTGTCAATTTCTCGTAATCAAATCTAAATATAGCAAATTTGTAGCCACCAACAAAGAAAAGAGAAAATAAAGGAAAGTTGATTACGCACTTCTAGAAAACAAACAGATCTCAAATTTCTTTTGCATTTGGAGATTTCAGATTTTTCACGTGTAGAGATTTCAAATTTCCAGCATTAGAAACTTTCAATTTCAATACTCTCCCAGTCTCCCTTAAGCTGATGAATAGAAGGTTTCTACTCACACAGCTTGAACCTTTCAGATTTTCAACATGTACAGATTTCAAATTTTCAATATATGAAAATTTTTAAATTCAATACTCTCCCAGTCTCACTCAAGCTAATGAATTGATGGCTTTAATTAACAGCTTACAAGTAAAACCTTCAAATTTTGAGGTAGTCAATCCCTGGTTATGACATCTGCCAGTTAATCACTTCAAGGAATATAAGGGTTGCTGAATAAACTGCTGCCCATTTTTTATGTAGTGTTTGTTAGCTTAAATGAGTTCTATCTAGTCACGTGGTACCGGTAATGTTAATTGTAAGTTTGGTATTGTAACTTCATAAATCCAGCATAATTAATTTTCAGATCATCAAATATTATTTTAAATCATAGAATTTCATAGATATCTCTAGGCACAGCTTTTGACTTAACTTCAACACTTGATCTTGCAAACATTAAGTGCCGCTTCTTCAATGGTATAAGACTGCCTAGAGGAAATGTACAGTAACCAAATGTAGAACTTTTATCCATAAATAAACAAACATAGTTGGCACCTGTATAAACTTTCAAACTGAATCATTTTTATTTCCTTAGAACAAGATCACTCTTCTTAGTGAGGTCTTTAGGTAGTGAAAAATCTTATAAACTTGTTAGTGCTTCTCCTTAGAATCTTTTATGAATTGACTTACTCTAACATAGCTAACATTTAACGATATAGTTAGTGATAGGAGAGTTACTTCGATTAAAAAAAATAAATGCTTAAACGTACTTATTTTGTGATCTTTTGTCTTCAGATTAGACCTGTGAGAGGATTGGTTTTCCCCTTTCTTGAGGTGGATTTTCCTTAAATTTAGGAGAAGGTCAGGTGAAGGAGGCCATAGTGGGGTCCAGCCTTGACAAGATTGGTTTACCTAGTCCTAGGTCTTCTCCTTCAAACCTAACACTATCCAAGCCTCCTGGATCTGGAATCAACCCAGTTCTTGCCCGCAGTTTTCTGTTTTCCAGTAAGTTCAAAATTCAGTAATCTGTCAATCCAGTGTCTTCTCAACGTCCCAGACAGGGGAAGTGTTGCCTAAAACCCAGAAATCTAGTTCAGAATCCCAGCATATGGCAACGAGGGTCTTGGATTCCTACAGTGAAACAAATTCAAGAATCCCTCCAAAAAATAGACAATGGTGGACTTCTAGACATCCAAGCCCCAAGAATTGGATCGAACAAATTGTAGTTGATGCTATTTGAGGCAGCAATCATTCATTTGATCATTAGTGAATCCAAGAATTTCCAGTAATCTAACGTCCTGCTCACTTGAATACACTACAGGTTCCAAGGTATTAAAACCCTTGGTGGACTTCTGGTTAGTACGTGGATTGGATGGGACTCTCTACGTAGAATTCGCCACTGCTCCAGGGCCAGTCCTTCCCAGTAAAGGCATCTTTTGCCTTCCTAGCACCAGCCAATCCGAAATTTAGTGGTTCAGGAACAAGCCAAGTCAAGTTCTCTGTTTCTGATTTAATCTTAATTGGTGATTTTGAATTCAGTAATCTACCTTTTTTTTTTCTACCTCATTTCATAGGAGGGTGGGTTTTGGGATCTCTAAATAATCTAAAGATTGGTAACGCTAAACCTAAGATTCTCAGATTCTTGCATCAAAAACTATACACGCTATTAGGTGGTTGGGATTTGGGAAGCAGCCATTCCACTGCTATCCAGCTATTTAGAAAGATCATTCAGCTGATTTCTATAAAGTTAACCCCTGGAAGCTCTCTGGATATAAGATAAACTGCAGCTTCTTGGGTAAAGGGATTTTTACAACAACCAAACAAAGGGTCTAGAATACCATTAGGAAGTGGAGGCCAGTTGAAACCAGATTAATTGATGAAATTCATTGTCTAATATTTTCTTTGGTCTGGGTTTAGAAGTCTTATATCTTGCATATCCTTTGTTTATTAGAAAATTTGTTCTTTTGTACTATTAAGTATAACTGTACAGTTACTTTTAATTTTTAAACGGTACTTCAGTGTCACTCTGATATCAGAGCCTAAGATAGAATGCCTCTGAAAAAAAACCAACCAAACCAAAACCAAGAACTAGCCAAGAAAGAAATACGTAGGAAAATCAAACAATTACAAACTAGATTAGCGGCATACAAAACTCGGGAAAAGGAATTATGTTTGATTCATTTGGTTGATCAACATTTAGACCGTGAAATGGAAAACCCATTCCATTGAGCTTTTCAAGAATTATGCTATGAAAACGACTCTTATCAAAAGAGAGAACCCATTAGACGACATCATTGTTATGAGGTTAAAATTGATATTCAGGATTTAAGGGTAGTCTTAAATCCCTATAACATTATAGATATTGGCTTCACACCTTCGAGCATGAATTTAATTAAAAAAGATACGAGTCAAATTAGTGATCAATAAATTGAAGAAAACAACTTCTATTTGATGGAAGAATCAAAAGAAAACTAGTTCTAGAAAAACAAAAAAACTCGTCACGTGGATAAAATGAAGAAAGAATTATAAAGAATAGACTTACCATCTAATTTCAAATAAGACATATTTATAAAACTACATAACTTTTTGCGAAGAAATCTATCTATAGAAGAATACAAAGCTGAATTTGAACAATTAATGCTAAAATGTGATATAATTGAACCTAAAGAGCATACCGTTGCTTGATTCATAGGAGGATTGAGTCATGTTATTTCAAATGTTGTATAATTACAATAATATTGGATGTTATCCGATATTACAAATTAACTCTAATGATAGAAAAAAAATGACACGGGCACTATGATGAGCTTGCAACTAGAACGCGGGTGAAGGAAGTGAATGTTAGAACTGTCCCCCATGGGATCATGCGCTGTCGCGATTCCGCCTAAAGGGATATGTAGTATTTTATAATTCCCGCAATCTTGCGAGTGTGACAAAAGAGATTATGTCTTGTTCTGCGGCGAATTGGGGATTTTTTTTCTTATTGTTGCTACCCGTACTTTGGAGACCTAAATTTATAATATTTCTTTAATTAAAAATAGTTATTTTGAGAGCGCACAATTTATATTTTGTTATTTCTTTTTTTTTTTTTTTGGACTTTAAATTTGTTGTGTGCCTTTTGGAGATTATACTCTCTGATTTCTACTCTCAATAGTGATTTATCATCTTTCTTTTGCAAGTTGTGTGTTTATAGCTTGTGTAGGAACATGTAGTCAATCTCCTCTCCGTCCATATACTGTCGTTTCGTGATTCCCTCTGTTGTTTCAGTCAGGATAGTCTCCGAACATCAATTATCCTCTTCCAAATGTTATCAACCCACATTTCCCTTCCCTTACCCCCGCTAAAACCACTTCATAAACACCTTCTGGGAGCCCTAGAATGATGTCATCTAGTATTAGAGCCCGGTAAACCCTAAATTTCTAGGGATTTGTCTTTGTTGCCCCAAATCAGAATTTCAAATAAGCTAACATAATATCACCAAAAAAAAAAATCCACCATACTCTAAATCATTTCAACCGTAATTGCTAGCTCTAATCCTAAATTTTTAAAAATTAGCATTTCTATCTCTAACAAAAATTTACACCGACGCCTACCACCAAAACTTAATCTCACGTCCAACTATTCATTTGCAATCCAACATCTATCGAAATGTTGATCAAGCAAAAAAAGACATAAAGCCACCAAGACGAAACCCTCAGCGAGATATTCAAGGTATCACTATGGACGATATGCTGGGGGAAATCCTTTAACCGTAACACAAGCTTATCGCCTTTAGGAGAGACAACCCAGAGATGCCACTAATAGCCACAATGATGAATCACCAAATCGAGGAGAAAGTGAACTACTTCCACCATGAAGTTTCAAATGAAAAAGAACTAATACACCAATGATTCCACATGTAATATCAAAGGAGAAGAGAGAATTTTGGAGTAAATATGAATTTACTGGATTTTGGGGATTGCATGGACTCGGATGAGTTCATAAAGTAACTCCAGACAATAGAACCGATCATTGAGTACTAGCAGAAGGGTAAAATTAGCAGTCATTAAGTTAAGAAAGAATGCGCCTCTATGGTGAAAAAATTTGAAGTGCCTATGCTAGTGTGAGAGAAAAAGCAAAATCATTACCTGGTCCAAGATGAAAATTGAGATGTTGCGCAAATACCTACTGGCACATTACAAATAGTACTTATCCTTGAGACTTCACTTACAGTAGCAAGATATCATAACAAAAGGAGTACACTATTGAGTTTGAGCAATTTAAGTTGAAGTGTAAACTAGTGAAGCCCTGAGAGAACACCATAGCTAAATATTTGGAGGGATTGAGACCGTCCACTGGCAACTTGGTACAGTTACAAGATGTTATATGATGTCTACACCTCAACTCTTAAGACGGATAGATAACACGGCAGTATCAGATCCACATCACCCATCAAACAAGATTCAACCACGAGATCAAGCAGCAAGAGTACACCCATTAGAGGACCTAAGCCGGCCACTTCCGAGGAAAAATCAATCTAAAGTGGAGAAAATGTAAAG